TGTGCATGCACCCAGCAGAGAAATTTCTCCTGCTGTTTTCATTCTTCCCTCTGGTCTTTAAATCTTTGGGGAATTAGGTCCTGATGCCTTGGGGAGAGTGTGAAGCTGGAACATACTAGTGAAGTGGTCCCAATATTAGAATCAGCTTGCCAGTTGATTACACTTAATAATCCATGATTTCCTTTATCCCTTTCTTTATTAATATTTAGCTACCTACACTAACAATTTTCATAACACTGAAATAGTGTAGTGGAATTTCTACATTCTTGCACACAAATGCTATTCACATTAATGTGCTTTTTTAAAAGATTTTATTTTTATTTATTTTTAGAGAGGGAAGGGAGGGAGAGAGAGAGAGAAACATCAATGTGCGGTTGCTGGGGACCTGGCCTGCAATCCAGGCATGTGCCCTGACTGGGAATCGAACCTATGACACTTTGGTTCGCAGCCCGCGCTCAATCCACTGAGCTATGCCAGCCAGGGTTACATTAATGTGTTTTAAATAAAGCAATATTGCCTACTTGATGTTAATGAACAAGAAAAATTCTCCAAAGCAGTTTCCACCAGAGAAGTATAGAGAACTGTCCTGAAAAGGGAGAAGCTTGTCATATATTGAGCATTTATATACAAGTCCCTGAGCCAGGTTTTTACTTTAACCCTACAAAGCAGGTTGCATTATTTCCATGTTAAAATGAAAATGTAGACTCAAAAAGGGTTAAGTAACTTATCCAAATAAGTAGCACTTTTTTCAAGCAGTCATAATCAACTTAAGAGTCCTTAAAAGAAAAATACATAAATAAAAAGAAAAGTGCTCATGGATCTATTGTCTAAAATGAAATCTCTCTCAGTTTAGGCAATTTTGAGTAACAGTGTGATGCAGACACAGGCCTGAAGTGCCTGAGGCGATATGGATGAGACATGAGACAAATGGGCTACTGAGTCCTGTGGAGGAAAAGGGACAGCACAGCTATTCTCTCAAGGGGAGAGTGCCTTAGAGTGGCCTAGCCACTCTCTCAAGAGGAGAGCACCCTGACCCTTGCCTTGCCATGCCAGGCTTTTCTTGGATTTGTTTTGCACAAGAATACAGGCAAAGCTCATTAATCATTATCAGGCAGTAAAAATCAAACATACAAAGAACTCTAAGGGCCTATTTTGAGTCAGGGTCAGATAGCTAAAGAGCCATAAAACTTTGAGGAACAAACTCACTTCTTGCTTGGACCCTTATCATTTAATTGAGAGCATTCTGAACAAAGCAGTTTTCACAGGATTTTACATATTCTTTCTTAGGCCTGAACACCCGAGGAATCCACACTTTCCAGCACAGGGCTGCACTACCCTCTGTCATTGTTTCAGGCTTAAGTCAGGCAGAGGAAGTAAGGCAGCCAAAAGATTAGGAGAATTCTTGCAGACAGAATGAGGACTCAGGCTATGTCAAAGCCAAGGGGTGAGGATCTATCACCCCCTTTTGCTATAGCCCCCCAAGTCCTTCCCTGGGGCCTCTAAGTGATCGTGCCTGTCTTAGGTCATTCCCACCTTGGGGAATCTTACCTGTCATTGGCTAACTGATCAAGCATTGGGGGCCAGGCAGGGTGAAGTAAAAAGGAGCAGAGGCTGTGCTCCTGTCAGAGAGATAAGCTTTGTCTCCTCAGTGGCTTATGGTCCGAAGGTCGCTCACTCAGCCTTAGCCATGGGGTGAGAGCGGGGGGTGGTTACAGCTTCTGAAACCAGGCAGGGAGGTTCCTGAACAACAGTGTCTAATTTCCTAAGTTTCTCTAACCTTCACTTGTTTCCTCCCCAAGAGAAAAGTCAAATAAATCTAACTAGTTTTTTTGCACTTCAGTTACTTTGAAGCCAATGGAGTTCCAAAATCCCATTCACCTTTTCATGTAACTGAAGTCAATTGAGCTCATTAAAACAAAAGCAAACACAGGTGAAATCCTCTGGACTCACTTGATATGACTCAGGTAATTACACCTTGGCCAAGTAAAACTGTTTTGAGCAAGGGTTCCCACAGAAAAGGGACAAAACAATGTACAACTCAACAAAAGCTCATTGGAAAAACCACAAAAAGAGATTTAAAAATATGATCTTTGTTCCAATTAAATAATGATTACTAGATATCTAGTTGTACTTGAACACAACAAAAATAAATCAGCTCAAAATAATGCTAATGATTATATCAAAAAGGGTTCAGATGTGGGTATCATCAGATTCATATAGCCCTATATCTAATAGGAAATACAAAGTACCCAGAAATAATTAGAAAACTATGTTAATCAAAAATGAAAACCTCTATTGTCTATCCAGTCTTCAAATTGAGGTATAGAAATAGTAACCAAAGAATAATCCATAGATTATATTACATATTTTTATAGAATTATGTAAGTTTTATGCATTGTTTTGTTGTGTATTACAATTTAATGAGGTTAGCAGAAATTACATTGTTACCACCTTATATATGGTTTCAAGATGGCTCAAAATAGTTAACAGTCTTGTATAAGTTATACAGACAGTGTCAGTTTCATACACAAAATAACCAGTCTAGATTGTATGATATGGAGGTTTTGCTTTGCATTTCGAATTTCCTCCTCCAAAGGATTTAAAATTGATTCAAAATGTTTCACAAACTATTGTTTTCTAAAATTCCTACAGTGTGAAAAGTGGGTTGGTGGGAAATTATACTGTGGTTTTGTAAACAGAGATTGAATAATCTGCTTTAGGTTTCAGTGTTCATCCTACTGTATTGCATTTTCTTGTGAATATAATACTTCATATATTGTGTTGCTTTGATGTTTTACATTCACATTTTAGTATGTTTACATTTTTTAAAACAATGGTAATTTAAAATAAGTGACAATTTACATTTAAAATAAACTTTAAAAACTCTGCTCCAAGGGTGAAATTTCTTCAAATATTTCTTTAATTCATCTCAGTTTATCTGCTCTCTCTGGTATTTCATTTATACTCTTTTGTAGCATCAGATATTAGGCTGCATTTTATTTTCATCATCTTAATTTCCATAAGTGGTTACACAACTTGATGAGGAAAATAAGGAGTAGATTTTGCTTCTACAAAAGAAGACATTAAAGTAGCATAACCTTTCTGTGACTGACAGTTCAAATTAATCAGACTTTCTTTTTTCTCTTACAGGCAGAGAGAAAGAGAGAGGAGGAAAGAAAGATTGAGAGAGAGACTGCCATTAATGTCAATCAGCGTTTTGGAAGAGAGAATGTGTTCCTCAAGGTCTGAATAATCAAGTGCATATGCATTTAATTAGTAAGATCCTTGTACTGTGTGCCTCATTTTTGTCAATGCTCTTCTTTTATTTGGTGTGATATTTCTGCGATTATCCTTGCTTCTACATGGTGGGAGAAAAAAAATGTAAACAATCAATTCAGTCAACTGGAGTAAGCATAGAATTAAATTCTGTGGAGGAAAGCCCCTTAACTAACTATAGAGTAAGTGGCACCAGAAGAGTATCCCTCACACAAGGTTTGTTTTTGTCCTCGGACAGAAACCCTGCACGTTCTGAAACTTGCACAGATGAAAGTACTTCTTTATTCAACTACAAGAAGCACGCATTTGCCTACATTTGTAAGGGATAAGGGAAACTTAATTTGTCGCAATCCATCTTTCAGGTGGGCGGTAAAGCAAAACACAACCCTTCTAAATGAACCTCAAGTAACAAATACTCTGAGTAGGTTTGTATATGCCAGAGTTCAGAGGGCTTCATTAGACATGGCTTGAGAGACTCCCTCACACCTTCTAATATATGCCTCTATTGGAAAAGCCTTCGAGGGAAGCTCCACACAGCGTTGGCAGCCTGCAGTGAGTCCAGCACCACGCACGGCCTCTTCCAGCCAGAGCCCGGAAGCGGGCAGTGCCTGCTGTTGGCCACTCGGGGGCTACGAAGGCATCGGCACACCTGCGAAAAGGCTCACAGTCTAACGAAATCGTGGACTTCTCGTGCGAGTAAATAACCTGCCTGTTTGATTTTCATTCCAGATTGATCTCGGTTCAATCTCCTTTCGCCTAGAGGTGCTGTGGCTGCCACCGCCCCCTCGCGCCCGGCTCGCTCGGCCTCAGCTCCGCCAGCGCGGAGACAGCGCGTCACCCCGGGAGGTGGGGGCGCCCACCGCTAAGGTTCCCTCCTCCCACACGCGAGCTGGAGAGGGAAACACGACCTGTACGACCTCACCCCTACGGTCCGCACGCGAGGGAAAGGAATCTGAGAAATTCTCAGGAAGGGAGGTCGGAGAGAGCCGCCGGCCGCTGTCCTGCCGCTCAGGACTCGTTAGCGTTTCCCTCTCCTCCTTCAGCCCCGAGGCCCTACCCAGTCTTTCCCGGATTTCCTCCCGAGTCCACCGACAATCTCGGCGCTGAACTCCACGCTGCACTCGCCGGGGCTTGAAGAGGCGAGCTGTGTTACGACCTCCTCGACTACATTTTTCTTTTTCGCTACACCTAGTCCTCGCAAACAACAATTTGATCAGTTTTCCAACAGTTTCAGAGTTGGGTATCTCTTCCACAGTCTCACCCGACCGGCGTCCGCACGTGTTGCGCAGTGAAGGCGGCGGAGCCCTCGGGACCACCAAAACAAACCCTGCCCTATTCCCAGTCCTGGCGCGGGCAGAAGTGGGTGTCTGCAGAGCTGGAGCAACGCGCGAGCGAGGCCCAGGGAGAGCGCAGACTCCGACCCGGGAGCCGGACGGGCGGCGTGGGAGGCGAGGCGGGAATTGCGCTGAACCCCGAGGCTAAGAGCCTGCAGCATTGGGAGTTGTTCTGGCTTTAAAAGGGCGAGTATTGTCACTCTTCCTGCTGACATTGTGCTTTCCTCCTTTGATCCTTTGTGAAAGCGGCCTCCCCTCCCCGCCCGCCCCGGGCCTCCCCCGGCGGCAGCCCGGGCTGTGGGCGGCTGGCGAGAGCCGGCTGGGATCGCAGCCTCCCGAGGCTCCCGGCTCCCAGGCTGTTTCTCGTGGCTCCGACAGTCACACGAACGACTTCCGGCTGCATCCTCTTAGAGGCTCCGCAAGGATTCGGAACAAATTCACCAGCGTTTTAAAAGGTAGCAAAGCCGATATTCCTTTTCTTTCATTTGTTTCGTTTTTCTTTTCTTTTCTTTTTTTTTTTTTTTTACAATAACCTGCAGTTTCTATCTGGAGGGTCAAAGAAGAATCCACGACCTCTTTATTGTGTTTAATCTAGGAATTTTAAATGGGGTTTCTCAGAATTTAAAGGTGGTCCACCTAATTGGTAATCAATTGCGGAGTCTTCCAAAATAGCCCCTTTCCTTTTTATATAATGAGAGACTGAAAGGAGCTTTTGCTTTTCTACCGTACACAATCTGTATTCATTCATATTCTCTTTCTCTCTCTCTCCCCTTCCCCCCTCTCTCTTCTCTCTGCTTCCCTCTGGTCCCCATCCTCCTTCTGTCCCCTTCCCCTCTCCCCCCCTCTCCTGCGCGTGTGCGTGCGTTTCCTTTCATTTGTCTCATTGGGAAACTCGTTTAGGGCCTCTGAAAAGTGAGGAGATGCTTAAATCTGATTTCCCACATATTCCTACTTGCAGCGTCAAATAGTGTCCGGAAACGTTGCCACCAGATAAATATGAGAATATTATTTTGAAGAAGCAGTTAACCCCTACCAAAATATAAGGCGCCAGGGGAAAGGTGAGCCTGGAAGATAAGGAAGCCCTTCGCATTCGCTGGTGGAGGAAAGAGCTATCTGGGGACGGGCTGAAGGTGGGGTTTCAGTCCCCATACTTCAGCACCAAAAGGGATGGACAGCATCTCCAGGCTGGACTGCACCCACAGGGACACAACCGAGCTGCCTCTGCCGCTGTCCTTGCTGCCACTGTTGTTGCTAAGGGCAGCTGGGTTTCCTACTTCTCGAAGCTAAACGACGGTGCCTCCTAATAACCCCTCGTCCCCACTGCCCTTCCTTAATAGACAAAAATTAACCCTTCTTACCCATCTGCTACAACTACTGTACAGGGCTCTGAGAAGTACTTTTTGTTCCGCAGATTAAACTCAGCAACAACTTCAGGAATAATTTTCTACAGGGGCCTGGGAGAAATGCAAGCAGAAGAGTGAAGTCAAAGTTCTTAGAGGCTCCGAGAAATCATGGACTCTACAATAGGGGCTGAAATGCTCAAAGGCCCTCACTTTTTGAAATAAACAATGTTCATGAGAGGATTGCAACTGTTTTTGGATATAGCTTTGTGAGTGGAGGTTGCAGAACTACTCAAAATCCTACATCAGAGAAACTAAAAGACTTCTAATTTTTCTACTTGGCAGGTAAGTGATAATACTAGTTTTCTGCTTATTTACAACTCTAATGATTTTTTCAAGAATTTAATAGTAGGATTATATATAGTATTATTTTTTCTTGTAGATTAAGAAAATAATTTGATTTTTAAATGATTGTTCCTGCATCATGATCTTAGGAAATCTCTTGCCTAATAACATAGTTGAATATTTTATTTTTCTGAAGTACCCTATATGACAAGAATATTAAAAATTATTTTATATACTGGCTTGTATAATTAAATCAAGTCTTAGTGGGATATTTTTACATTGCCCACCTAAAAAATTTTTAAATTTGTGTATGTCTCAGTTGTCCAAAAAGTAATACAATCTGGTATTTTGTTAAGAGGGTTTTTTTTGTCTTATGCATGTAGTTTAAAGTGATCTTGTCTGTGTTGCACAGTATGCACGATTCAAAGTTACAAGTAGATGGTTTAACCACACCTTCTGTTATATTTTAGCTGATTACAATTTGTGAAACAATACACAGGAGCAAACACATGTATGAATACACACCTGATCCCTCTCTCTACTTGAACCCCCAAGTATACCTACACCTGTAGCATCTTAACTAGACATTTTTTTCTTAGCATGATCTTTCCTGCCTTTTAAAGCTTAAGACTGCTTGCTCAAACCACACCTTCCATAAAGCAGAAGTGAGAAGCTTTAGTGTGTCTTTTTTAGGAGAGCTGGATTTTAATAGCATTCTGACTTCTTAGTTCTACAAAATAAATTAGTCACTGAAATCCAAAAAAGTTGTAGGGGAAAATAGGTTCTTGACAAACCATAAACTTTAAAGTCTTCATTAAATCTGTTTTCTGTTGATTCTTATTTCTGGAGTCTTCCCCTGGAGCTTTAAAACTACCATCTTTCACAGTGACCTTGATAAGCATTCTGCTTTAATAAAAAGGTTTCACTGGGTAAAGGCAGTTACACAAATTTATAGCCCATGCCTGACATTTCACTAAGGGCTCAATCAATTCCAATGCACACATTCAGTTGTGTGGAGAGTATTGACTTGCAGGAATGGACTTTTCCAATCATGTAAGCACATTTTATACTATATGCATAACCAACACTGTGGGAAGAGTTTGCCCCTCCTGAAAAATTATAATTCCTTAGTTTTTCCTTTTTATTTTATAGGCCATATCTAATTGATAGTGAAATGCTCCTAATATGTATCCATACATACCCTCTTTCTCAGTTTCAGCATAAAAATCCTCTGAGGCTGTTAAGATGGTATTTGTTGGTGGGCTGATGGGCTGATGGTATTTGTTTTGCATTGCCTGAGTGTAGCAATTACACTCTGAGGAAAAATCATACTTAACTGTCATTTACCACTTACCATGAACCTGCTTGCTTAGCAGAAATGAAGCAGAGGCATCTATGTCATTGAGCAGCCTGGGGGCTATGTTGCCCTATATAGGTCAGAAATGATCATCTGAGGAGGAGAAAATGTACCATTGATTTGGATCCCTTCCTAGGAGAGCTATGATGTGCTCCTAACACAACCTGATTTTTTTTCTAGTCTTAGAGATATGAAGGTGAAATTACCTCATGGAATAATTAATAATGATTTAAGAGATGCACAGCACATTTTTAGATGGATATTTTGGTTGTCAGTTAATTAACATAGGCTCTCATACCTGGAGCTCATAAAATAAAAACAGAATGTGTCATAGGAAGCATTTCTATGGGTATGTGGCTGCAGTTACCTTCTTAGTGGTAAAGAGGGCAGGCTTTCTTTATGTGTGACTGAAACTGCACAAAGTAAAAGTAACCTTTGCCTAATCCCTTTGAAGATTTAGTCTTAGAAATAAATAACTCTAATTCACCTTTCCAAGCTCAGGCAAAGTGCATGGAGCTCATAACAATCCTCATTTCTGAGGAAATGTTATTACATTGAGATGGAGTTTTGTAAATTAATTTAATGCCTACCTAAATGCTAATTTCTATCTGCTGCCACTCCCAAGCTCCCCCAAAGGAGTGGCTGGGTTAATGGAACCTAACATTTTTTGATAGGATTACCTGTCTTTAAAGAAGAATCAGTGCTTTATTATGGGATACTCATATCCCAGTAAAGGAAACTGTTTTTTTCATAGGTATTTTGGTCCATTAGGGAAAACAGATGCATGCGATTTGCAGAGTACTAGACACAATAATTCAATATCCCCTCCCCTGGTGAGGCTGGTGGGGGAGGAACTGTTTTGTTGGTAAAAAGTTGCTTACATTTGAGTCTCAAAAGAAAAAAAGTGAAATAGGATTGTGTAGACAGGAAAATGTAAAGTGTATATAAGACCAGAAGATAATTAGAAATGAGCCCTAGAATCTGATCAGTCACTTTGCTTTTAACAGGAAATGGTGTGTGGAGAATAGAACAGGGAGTTCTGGCCTGAATCTCTAAATACTAAGATATTATAAAAAACACCTTCGTTTAACTCTTCGGGTAGACCCTCTGAATATTAACCAGCTATTCTAATGTAATTATTGATACCTACAGATTATATTGGATTTGAATGTCCAGAGTTTGCCTTAGGAAGTGTTTTCTTGGGTTTGAATTGTGTATATCAAAAAATGTAAAAGTATGAGATGATTTTTACTGAAATTTAAGAAGGCCCTCAGTAATTGACTTTTATTTTTGTATCATTTTAAAAGATGTAAATTCCAGGCAAGACCTGTTTATTCACCCAATTCTAACAAGCAAGGTAAAAGCTAATAGTGAGGAAAAGTATGTTATAAATAGGAAATTATTTTTATAATCATCCCAGCTCTCCCAAACATGTACAGTGAGTCACAGAATAGCACACAAATGGAGAAGGATTTCTTGTTTATATTTTCTTCCTGTTTAGGTGAATGAGTTATACATGGTGTGTAACAAGTAGTGTTTGACAGTCAAAAGATTAAGATTCTTGAATGCTTGTCATTAGATCTTGGACAAGTCACTCAACCCAATGAAAGTTAACTTTTCTTTTGTAAAAGAGGATACTGTGGGTACCAATTAAGGCACAACCCTAATTGGTGACACCTAAACATTTGTGGGATGAATGAACAAATGCCTACTGTTTGGAATATGGGAAAGTCTCAAGATAATGCTTTGAGAGTATTTTGGAAACTTAAGTGCTATATCTTTGAGTTATAAATAATCTCCAATAGCATTCATTTCTTCCCTCATCAAAAACTTCCCTGCTGATTACAACATGGTGGACATGCCTCTTCTATTTAAGAACTTTCAGTATAGAGAATATGTTTTTTGGTGCTACTTCAGCATCAATTTTCTTAACTATCTTAATGGAATAAATATTTCAATGCAGGTAGAAGCTGGTTTAAAATCATTTATTGTTCAAAATTCACACCAAAGTGATCAACATGACCCAAGTTTATTTTTACTACTTTCATTTTGACCTTAAATGAATCAGTCACTCTTTTGTGTCATAATTTTCTGGTCTGTGAAGAAGAATAATATTTTTTACTAGATATATCAACATGGAAATCCATAGAATTAAATGCACTTTAAAACTCAAAACCTGAAAACATAACCAGAAAGAAAGCATTTTGCATTTGATTTCTCGCTAGTGAGGATGAAGTATGGATAACATGGTATGGTCCTGACCTATGGCAATACCTTGGAAATGCTGTAAAGATATAGTGTTTATTTAGTGCAAGGCTTGGGTTCTATTCATAGATGTTAAGAAATCTCAAGCAACATCTTATTTCTTATTTTTTCATCAGTTGGAGTTTTAAACGTGACTATGATTTTTTAAAGGTAATGTTTAAATATTTAGTCTATATAGTTTTATATAGTATCACTAAGCATATACAGGTAGAATGTTTAGGAAATTTAAGTTATTGTATAGTTGTATTATTTGAGTGCTAGAGGTGGAAAATTATAATTACCTAGTGATATAATTTTGAGATTTTTTTTTGTTTTGTCACCACTTATCCAAAAAAGGGAAAGAAAATAGGAAAGAAATAACAGAGGATAAAAGGAAAAAAGCAGGAAGTGAATGTTCATCAAAATAATGTTTATGACTCAAAAACTTTGTCTTTGTCTTTATTTGTCTTTTAAATCTTTGCCTTTATAATTATGAAGCTTGTTCAGCACATTTTACACACTCTGTCAGAAAATGATCTTAGATTTACATAAATTTTGTCTTTGAATTCTCAACAAAGCTAAATATGTACTTATTTTTAAATAAAAGAATCATTAAATTGATGCATTAAAATAGAGGCTAATTCTTTATCACTTCAGTATACTTAATGTACACACTTGCATAACTTTTTAATATTAAAATTTGTGAAGTAGTTACAACTACATTTATACATAACAAATATATTCATTTATCCAATTTCAAATAGTTTAAGATTTAGTTTTTTAATTCACTTACTTAAATTCACTGAATAATTTACCAGAAAGCAGGGATCTTTTAGATATGTTGTCAGAATTTGAGCAATAATATGTTATCATATAAAACTATTGAATAATGCATTATCTTTGAGCCTTCTCAAAGGGACTGAGGGAGGGAAATAAGTATCCAAGATCATGAAATATAAAATTCCACAAGTAAACAGCATTGTCTGGTTAAAAATACTTGAAGTACATACTAATTCTCTTAGAGTCAAATATGGTTTCTCATTAACTAAAGATGTAATCTTGGGTATATCACTTTGTCTTAAATTTAATAGCTCATCTGTTTTTTTTGGTTACCTTCTGAGGCAGGGGGCAGATCAGGGCTGGGTGGATAGGGGCAAAAGGGAGAGCATAGAGAATATCTGTATTAGTGTCAAGAATAAAAAAAGAAAAAGAAAGCAGCAAATAAAAACCTATACATTTAGTTGAGTTCAGAAACATTTCTTCTGCTTTCCCCGGGGAATTTCTCTCATAAATGTTCCCATACTCTTATGGTGGGAATTACATGAGATTTAGGATCACAGAAATTTTGAATTTAATTCTGGTTTAGAGACTGATTAACTATACAAACCAGGACAAGAGA